GTGGGTGTGGGTGTGGGTGTGTAATAGCTACCAAGATGCGTTTCGTCCGTGCTAAAGGACTCATCAGTTGGCTTAATCTATTCAAGTTTCAAATAATAAAATTCAAAACTAAAATAGAAAAATCAAAATTCAATGTTATAAAGAAAATTTTAACTAAAATAAATAGATAAAACTCAATTTATAATCGAATCTTAAATTATTTTTGGCAGTAGTGTGTAATAGCTACCAAGACGCGTTTCGTCCTTTAGCAGGGACGAAACGCTTGTTGGTAGCTGTTACACACCCAGTTAGCAAAGTTGTTCGCGGAAAAAAAGACTAAAGATTGAATAAACATCAAACGACAATTACAGAAGTTCCAGCAATAACAACAGAAGGCAAGAGAAACAGTATAAAATTCATTCTCATCCCGAAGAATTTTTCATTTAGTAGGTAGTCATGAGTCGAGAAAAAAGAATTGCTACCCTAAATATTTGACCGTTTTTGTTACTCTTTATTCAATCAACAAGTAAGTTTCAACTGTTGAAAATTGCTGCATCTTGCTGAAGCTTTTGCTTGAAATTCTCTGTTAAACAGATGACAAATAATGAAATTTGAAGAAAAGAGCTTATTAAAACTTATAAGATGTGCATGAAATTTCAATCAATTGTTATATGATATATGTCATACATATAATTCCTTTTCATGTTTATTATACTGTTCATGATCATAAACTTTTGTATGACTATCAAAATAAGACATGCTACCAGTGTTTATAAAAACAAAAAAGCTCCTATATGCGTTTATAAAGACAGATAATAAACTGGCATAATATTGCTTTTTCTTTACATAAACACAGAAGTATTTATTATTTACATTACTATGCGAATACTTCATACTCATGGAGTCTATGATGAAAGTTTGAACGAAGAGTGATTATATAAACTAGAAAATACCTACAGCCATACTTTAACAAAATATTCTTTTAATGGGGTGGGGGAGGGGAGTGATATATCCCGCTCCTCTTACGTAGATTATCATAGTTAATTCGATTTGCTTACACAATTTTTCTGTTACATAAGGGTGTAGATATGATTCTGATTGTCGGTGTGGCTGTGTAAGTGTGGGTGGGAGTATGAGTATTCTTTTAAACCACACTCACATGCACCTACACCCCACAGCCATATCTTTTTCTTAACATGTTTTAATCACCAAGACACTATCTATGACATCTGAAGTCAAAATTCATGGTTTTAGTTCTATATTTATGCTGTCAGTTAAAATAAAGTCTCATCTATCTTAAGATACATTGCATGAATTTTGAGCTAAACGCCAATGTGTGTTAGTAAGAGGTATGATTTGGGACTGTGATCTTTCTTGTTAGCCACATCGTTAGGTCACCACCGGCACCGACATCTGCGCCATCACAAACTATTCAGTCACTGGATTGAGCTGTATACATTTGATTTATTTATTTAGTCTTAATTAATGCAACGACAGTATCTTATGCGACGACTCTTAGAGACGGTAATCCACAACAAAATGCTGGCAGCACGGAAGGTGGCACTTTATTGTGGATATATGGGACTGGTTTTGCAGAGAATCATTTCAGTATGTTATCATCAACAGAAACATCAAATGCTGTACAATTGACTCAAGGAAATGACGTGTATGAATGTCGAATGCACATCGAAAAAGTGACAAATACTCAGTTGACTTGTTACACTCCACCACTGCCTCGCGATCAATATTTAGTCCGAGTCATAGTTAAAAGGCACTTTAATCCCTCTATCTCAGTACAGTAATTCATATTTGACTACTTTCATATCAAGCCAAAGTAACACACCCTATATCACAAAAATTATACCGGCATCAGGCTTACCTCAAAGACTGGTTACATTATATGGAGATTTTAAATCACGATGTTATTTACGTGAGTTTGAGGGTTGTTCAGAAAAAAATTCGCCAGTCATTTCTCGGTAAGAAACGATAAATTTGGCTATTTTTACGATACCTTCGATAATAATTCATCTAGAATATACATCGGTGGTCAATTGTGCAATTTAATTGATCCAAACAGTGCTAGTTAGTAAGTTAACCTGTGTGTAATAATATCAGACTATGATCTTTTGAGGGTGTGGGTGTGGGTGTTGGCGGATGTGGGCGGGTGTGGAGTGCGAGGTGTGGGTGGATATGGAGTGTAAAGTGTGGGTGTCGATGTGGGTAGGAGTGGAGTGCGGGTGTGGGTAGGAGTGGAGTGTGGGATGTGGGTGGGTGAGAGTGTAGAGCGTGGGATGTGGGTGCGTGTGGATCAAGAGGAGAAAAACATCCACACCCCACACTCCACACCCAAATCCATACTCACACCCACATCCGCACCCACCTACACCCATATGCACACTCATACTGACATTCACCCACACCCACCCATCCGCCCGCACCCACACCCACCCACAGCTATATCCACATCCGGTACTTTTCTATTATCTACCTAGTGTTGACCCATCAGAGTACTCAACTGAGTCATCCTTAACCAGTTGTGTAAGATTATTCTCATAAAACTTTGATATTAAATGTGTTGCTGACTTTTGATAAATGTTGTCATGAAAACGAGGGAAGCAGTCGCTGGTGACTTTGGATTCTACCACTTTTAACGAAATGATATTGATTCAACGATAAGATTTCAACGAGTCTCTAAGCATACTTGAGATAAATGCATTCTTATATAAACGATGTGTAGTGCACTCGACTCCATCGAGATATTTTTGTGCTGTTCTGTTGCTCTTCGACTATTTTTAATTGTGTGTCTTTTGGTTACTCTGTCAATTATTAATGGATGCTGATACTTTTTTTTCCTCCACTCTCGTTTGGGGAAGAGATTATAGGGAAATATCGGCGCATTAAACTTTGTAACTGCATGGAAACTATTGCCATCCTTACTAATATACGCTTACTTGTTCGTTGGAAAAGTAGAATATTTTTTTGTTTCCATCAATCCTCATATTGTTCAATTTCATTGAATTCAATTTTTAATATACATGAAATGCCTGCAAATCCATAGTTGCTGTACGCTGCGTACTTGTTCTTCATCATGTTTTTGTTTTTAACGATTCTCGGATTTTCTATACCATGGCTGAAGATCTTGGGAATAATTGCGATTATTATGCTAATCGTCATTCCAACGGCCATAATGCTCTACTATTTTCTTTTAAAGAGAAAATTGATTACATTGCAAGGAATTTTTGGTAGCGTCACATTGGGTTTTGACAAACAACAAGCCAGAGAATTGGAGACACGGCTAAACGAAATGATGCTTCAAATACAATTGCAACGCTCTGGGGTACCAAGTTATAATCAATCACTGTCTCCAATGTCTGTCTACACCGTAGAAAAAGAAAGAAGAAAGCATCGCAGATCCTAGATACGTGTTTACAATGGACAAAAGCTCATGCTGTAGCATGTGTTTTTAACATCAATAAAATTTACTGTAATTCAAAATCCTCTTAGATCTTCTATTTAGGGTGTGGGTGTAGATATGGGGAATACTGGTATGTGTGTGGTTGTGTGTGGGTGTTGGCGTGGGTGTGGAGGGTGTGGGGTGTAGATGTGGATGGGTGTTGCTGTGAGTGGTCGTAGGCGTGGGGTGGGATTAGGGATTTGCGTTAATCTTGAATTTATCCAAAGCGACATTCACATCCCACACCATGTTGATAGAGTTGAATCTCAAATTCTAGGTTATATCTACAAAAATACTTCACATATTAAAAAGATGTTTCAAGGTCGTATTCAATTAGACAAAGCTGAAATGGAAGAATTAAAAGCTTTAGGAGATTTCGAACAAGTGGCCATCCCATCTCAATGGAATATTCATTTGATGTTAAAATCAAAAGTCAAGCAGTATTCAGTAAAGAATATCATTTATGGTTTGCCCACTAAACGTCTTGAATGTGATCTTCTTCGAAAATTTATTGATAAAATCGACTTTTCATTTAAAATTGATGAATCAGTTGCCGGTAAAGATCAAGCACAAGGTATGCATGATCAAATGCGTAAAATTACTAAAGATTTTCGAACTCAAGCTATGATATTATATGTTAAATCATTAACTTGAGAGCATGAATTATTATCTAATGAAATGAAACGTACTATTGAAAATTTTCCAAAAGATAATGATGAAGGTTTTAGCGTTGAAACTGATTATGCATCATTTAAACATTATCATGAATTACGTGAAAAATGATTAAATTTAGAATTCGGACAACCACTTTATTTTTTAGAAGTAGAAAGAGTCGAGGGAAAAATCAACAATAAAAAACGAAGAAATAGTTGCCCCGACTCCTCTTCGAGTACTTGGCCCAGAATTCTCACTCCAGCAATAATTAATGAAGTAAATATACAATTAAGTTAGCAAGAACAGCAATAATTAATATTAGACCCTCGCTTTATATTCAATGATCCAAAAATGGCATCTTCACAACGATCAACTGAGTTAGCAATTTAGAAAACGAAAAATCAAAGCGCTTTTCTTTGATAAGAAAGTAAGCCCCGGTCGTCCAGTCCGACAACTTATTACTGAATTAGATGTCTTGCTTCAAAATTTACACATTATACCATCAGCCAAGCAACTTGAAATAATTCCAAGCTAATCTCAAAATGAAATTCTATCAACAATGAGAAGAAAGAAGAAAAATTATGGTCGATTAATCAAACAATTGAGTTTTAAATTTAATTTGACTAATACAATATTACGGAAAAGTCATAAGTCTAAAGTATTTCATATAGGTAAACCTATTGATTATCGCAAGAAGTCTGAAGAATATATGGAGAAAACCAAACCATGACAAAGTCTTAGTATTCAATATTTAGTACCAGCTTTCATTCGTCGTACCCATAAATACCTTTTAGATTTATGCTTAGCCAAATGAGTTAATCAAAAGTAATATGAATAGTTGAGTATTAATGCAAATGATACTGAGCTTCCTCGTTTATATTATTTCCCTAAAGTTCATAATTCAAGTACTTCAATTCGTCCAATAGTTTCTACTCTGAAACATCCGACCATCGAAATTTCTAAATTTCTTGATGGTTTACTTCGACCTCTTTTCAATCAAATGTCTTCAAAGACAACGGTTATTTCCGACTTTGAACTAGTGAGGCATTTGCAAAAATAGTCAAAAAACAATTTACATCAAGAAACATTATTTTATACTATTGATGTAACTGACCTGTACACGATGGTACCACAAATCGAAGTAGTATTATCATTGAAGAAGATGTTAGATCATCTTAAACTGAAACAAATTGGTGATCTTAAAATTAAAACAATTATTCGATTAAGTCGATTTTGTTATGTAGAATAATTGTTTCTCATATGATGGTCAATGTTATCATCAAACTCAAGGGGTAGCTATAGGTTCTCTACTTACTCTTACAATGTCTAACTGTTATACGGTCTTCTATGAACATTACATTGTTAAACAAATAAAAAATAAAAATGGGCTTTACTACCAATATATTGATGATATATTTATAGCAATTGATTGGTCAGCCCGACATTTACTTAAACAAATCGACATGTGGAATCATGTTGACGAAAATATTAAGTTATCAGAAAGTATTGGTTCCTTAGTTGATTTTCTACATTTACAAATTGAAAATTGAGATGAACAATTGTTTACTACAATTTATCAGAAACTTTCTTATGAACTATATTATTTGCCGTTTAACAGTATATATCCATTATATACGAAGAAAAACATCATATTTACGATGTTACTCGTGCAATTAGCTATTGTTCAACATTTCAAGCTTATTTTGATGAATGTGAAAAATTAAGAATAGGACTAATAGTAAATAAATATCCGAATAAATCTATTTATGAACAGTTTAATCATGTCTTATTAAAATTGAACATTGACCAACCATTGACATATAATAGCTACAGTAATTTTCGTCAAAGAATTATAGATTCTCCTGTAAAAAAAAATACCAATAGACTATGGAAAACAATGTTTGCCCATTTTGCATACTGTTCAAGTATGAAAACATTCCCTAGTAAATTCCATGTTTTATAGAACAAATACTTTGGAGAATCATCAATTAACGAAGTTATTCCTGTTCTTGGCATATGTAATGTTAAAAATCTACAAAAGTGTTTAATTAATACAAGATCAGTAAATATTCATGTATAACTTGTAGTCGATTGGCCCAATTAAATCTTCCAGCCCGCTTTTATTGATCTATAGATGGTTGCTTGTAGATTTTCAAATTACAATAATCATAAATTACTTTGAAACAAATACTTCTTTGATTTGAAATATAATTATACCGAAGTCGAATATCATTGAACTATTTTTAGATTATATGACCGATAGTTATATGTCACCAATGGCTAGATGGAATAATCCAATCAAGAAAAAATTATTGCGAAGCGAAATCCATTATAAACTTTTATAAAAGTATATAATGATGGTCGTCTTATTAGCTGAACTTATAAAATACCTGTAAATTTACATAAATTGAGTTATTCCTTTTGAAATGTGTACTTACTTCTAGTATTTATTTAAATCCAACTGTTGTGAATCTAAAAGATGTTGTATTCTACACATCAGTGTATTTTTTTAAATATTTCTAGCATATATTTGGCTATAGTAAACAATTATACTGAGTTTTCATCTATCTGTAGTTTTTGATTTCAAAGTTTTTCTTTTGTGCTTGTATTCTATTGTAAATCCGTGATCAGTGTTTCATTATTATTAAATGAATACACGAAACGCGTCGACGAAATAAATCTCTACAATTCATTCAATTAATTTAACTCCATCACAATAATATATTCTATGTGATTTTATTTTTGACTTTGATGGATTGCTGAAAGGTAAGAGTTGAGATTAGCAGATTGATTTATATTTTCGAGAAATATAAGTTGATCTGTTTCTTGAGGGTGTGGGTGTGTAATAGCTATCAAGACGCGTTTCGTCCCTGCTAAAGGACTCATCAGTTGGCTTATTCTATATAAGATTTGAACTAAATAAATACATAAATTTAAATATATTAATTTAAATAGATAAATAAATTCAATGTCGTAAAAAAATTATGAGAGAGTGAAATTTCATTATGGTTTAAAAGGACGGGGGTGGATATGCTAGCAAAAACGGCCCTATTTGGAAACCATAGTGAAACCCATATTAACTATACATAGTTCGAAAAGAAATTAATACAAAACGACGAATCAATAAAAATTTCTGCGAATCTTCCACTTTTTTCCTGCGAGCCAGGTGATATCTCTTATACGGCTTATACAAGAGCTATATACGGGATAACTTGACTATATAGT